CTTCAACGTAATTGTTTCCATAATTTATTGCTCTTCGTGGACGAAACACAAATCCTTTTCTTTTCTCCCGACATTTCGAACGTCTGACCAGAGCGAAACCCTATAGCACTCGGAAAATAATCGAAGATGTTAAGAGTGGCGGGAAGGAGGTTGTCTTCTCTCTCATGGCGGTCGGCTCAGTCCTCTCCGGCTGCCGCTTACGTGAGCAGAAATCCAATTAACGGCGTCGATTATTGCGATAATTCCACCAGATCTATCTCTTCTCCCCACCATTTGCCCCCTACATCCGCTTTTCTCCATCAAATTATGGGTACACTATTGGCCTTGTCATTGATAGGGACTCATTCGACATATTATGATCTCGACTTGTTTCTGTTTATTGAGATGTAACAGTTAGGGGGTATAATCAAAATAGACACTTTTGGAATTTTGACTAGTTATTTGTTTCGGATGAAGTTTGAATCTTTTGATTATTGAGGTATATTAATAGAAAAGTAAATTAATAATGGTTGGGTATTTGTTTATGTTGGAGCTCGGGTGCTTTATAAACTGAAACTACATGTATGTTTGGATTGTGATGTGATATGATGTGCGCTATTCATTTCCCTTCTATCCTACATAGGGTTGTTACGTGGATTGTATTAAAATTACGGAAGCTATACCCTGAATATTTCTTTTGTCATGTAGATGGTGAAATTTTTTGTTGATTTTTGTGAAACTAATGAAAATAACTGCTGTTTCTTTTTTTATGATTTGATTTTGCTGTAACTAATGTTTATCTATGTCCCTGTTTTCAACAAGATGATGACGACATTCTGCGAAGATGATTTTTCTATGACTGAAATGATATAACCTGTTTTCCCAAAAATGCTACTCTTTCATATTAATTTGCTCAGTAGCATTTGCTGCTTATGCAATATCTTGCTAGTTTGCGATTAGATTGTTAGCATGAGAACAATCAACTATTATGGTCTGCCTGGGAAGTTTTTGGTCATCTGGCCTTACCTTTCTTGCTACCTGTATTAGTTACCTTGTTAGGAGGGACCTTAACTGAATCATTCAGCGAACTCTAGCACGACATTATCCCACTGTCCATTTGTTTAACGGTATGGATCAAAATAAGAGAATTGAATTGGCAAAGGGCCTCAAGTCTGAAAGACTTAGAAACTGTGTAATTTATAGTCCTATCTGAATCTTTTGAATGGTTTGGAAGGAAATAATAGTCATTTTTTAGGTTTGGAACGAAAAGTAAATTCTTGTTATTATCAATCAAGTATATTCAAAGTTTATGCAGTCTTCTTTAAAGTTCTTTGCTTCATATAGTCTATTATAAAACAATGTATTGATTCTTTAGTCTTCATTTAAATTCTTTGTAAGCTGTATAGGATTCCTCTTTGAGTTGGAGGTTAGGTACTAATAACCCCTTCTGCATCCATATCTTTCAATCAATAAACTTTGGCAGGGGACAACCCAAATCCCCCATTCAGGTTTTGGTGAGCTGGCCTAAAAACCCTTTCCAATTCTTGAATACATTTTCCAAATGAAAAAAAAGGTAAATTCAGAACATGTGCAGCCTTTGATCCATGGATTGATTATTCAATAGATAGATACCTTTAGTTGGAAAATTAAAGCTGTTTCGTCCAATTTGAGAACATATATTGGGATAGAATCCAAGACATGTTTGTCTTTGTTCGTGTTCATTGTAATGTGTCCTAATTTAAGAAAGCCAACATATTTTTGGATGAAAGGAAAACAGTTGTTTGAAGGTACTTATCTTAAGTCTGCGGCTCGGAATTGATTATCCTCCTACTTTTACTCTATTTCTTTTGTTAAAGCTCAATCCATTTTCTGCATCGATGGCAACCCTCTTATCTCACTCTATTTCACTCATTTAAAACATGGGACTCTTCTACCTATATCCTATTGCCTTATATTTACATCCTTGGGTTCAGTGGATTCTCTTAATCTCAATGTTATTTTGTCTGTTTGGGTTCTCTATCATCTACCCTTATTATGAAAGTGAAGTCTTTTGGTTACTCTGAATTACTGGTCATTACATTTGTGTACCAAAATATTACATTCACGTGTGCACATGAATATGCCGTGGATCTCTCTGGTTGCGGTATCTGCCTTCTCCATGTTCTGAATTTTGGGATCAGTAATGGGATACATTTAATGCGATTTAGCACATTGCTGTTCTTGGGCTATTTACCGATGCTTGTGCTGATTTATCAACCATTTATCGACATTGGCAGGGTTTTCTTCTGGTTCGATTGCCCCAGCCGCTCATGAGATGGGTTTAATCTCAGATGTACCAGCTACAGTGGCAGCTATCAAGAATCCTAGTCCAAAGATTGCCTATGATGAGCACAACCATGAGCGTTATCCACCTGGTGACCCTAGCAAACGTGCTTTTGCCTACTTTGTTTTGACTGGAGGGAGGTTTGTGTACGCCTCATTGCTCCGTCTCCTGGTTCTTAAATTTGTGTTGAGCATGTCTGCCAGTAAAGATGTTCTTGCTCTTGCCTCCCTTGAGGTCGACTTATCCAGCATTGAACCAGGGACAACTGTTACTGTCAAGTGGCGTGGGAAGCCAGTTTTCATCAGGCATCGAACTGAAGAGGACATCAAATTGGCCAACAGTGTTGATGTTGGTTCCCTTCGTGATCCACAAGATGATGCTGTAAGGGTTAAGAATCCTGAATGGCTTGTGGTTGTTGGGGTTTGCACCCATCTGGGGTGCATCCCACTACCAAATGCTGGTGATTTTGGTGGTTGGTTTTGTCCATGTCATGGTTCCCATTATGACATCTCTGGAAGGATTCGCAAAGGACCTGCACCATTTAATCTGGAGGTGCCCACTTACAGCTTCATGGAAGAGAATAAGTTAATGATTGGGTGAGAATTTAAATGAAGATTATTTCTATATTTGATAATTAAAATGAGCCTGGGAAGCCAGATCTACTATCTGAACTCTCTTTTTATATTTTTTTGTTAGTTGTTATCCCTTTTTTATATTGCCCTGCTAATGCTTCATTTGACATGGACATTGTATTGAGGTCCCCAGTTTGAACGGAGGCCCTACTTTTTAAATAAAACTGGCTTCTTGTAAGTCATTTTCCTTTGATTTGTTGGTTGTGTACTATACTACTAGGAATGGATGGATTGACTACTATTTGTCCTCCCCATGTACTGAGACGAAGTGTAATAGTTGAAATTTTGAGCAGAAATTACATATTACTAACCCCAACTAATCATGCACAGTGGTGCATGTTTTCACCAAGCTTAGTAATGAGCAGGGTAAGATGGGAAGTGTTTGATTTTCTGAGCTTTACTGCTTGTCATTGAGTCGTGAGTTAGACGTTGTAAGTTGTGGATATAAGTTAGCGTTTGCAGTTGATGGCGACCTATTTTCTGTTGAGAGGTGGATAGCCCCTGTAATGAAACTTAGTAAGGGATAACGAGGTGAAAGATAAGTCACTTAAAGAAATGGGAAAGGATTTGAAAGCGATTAAAAATGAGAATTTAAAGAATGTTTTTAGAGATTACTGGAAAAGGTAATCTAAGCATAAACAAAAGTGCAACTCAAATATTTAGATAGCTAATTTAGTTTCTATGGATAGGATATGAACCATTGGAAGTCATTTATCAACTTTATGTAGGGTACCCCTAGGACTGTTACATTGAGGGTGCATGGCAGACGGGGAAAAAATGGAGTTTTTTATAAAATATATTAATAGTAATATTAAGAGAGATACATAACAATCATGAATATAAGATCGCGTGAGTTACTATTGGCTTGTGGTCAAGGTGGTTCTATAAATCCTTAGGGAAAAGCTGTTTGTGAAGAAAAGTTATTCTCCCTCAGAAAATCAGCGGATGTATTAATTGTGGTGGTTGTGGATCCCAGCCTTTTTGGGTTGTGAGGTCAAATATTAATGTATAATTTTTTAAAATAATATAATATTAATAAAAATAAGTTAATACGTATTTTGATAACTTAAAAATGTCTTATAATTATATCATTATCAATATTATTAAATGAATTTTGCTATATGTATAGTTTTGTTTACTATGTCATTTATGGATGTTGAACTAACGGCGAATAAATCAAATTGGATTTAGGAAGTAAATAAATTGAAATAAAATTCACATTTAATTTAGAAAGTAAATGAAATTTAAGTTAAACGAAAAAATTATTTGAAAGTAATTTAAATTACATTTAATCTATAATGATTTTAGAATTTTTGACGTCATTTTCTATAAAATTTTCTATTAAAATGATGTAAATTATATTGAAAAATTTATCGTGTAAAAATAATAAATATTAATGAAATAATTGTATTTTTTTAAAAGCAAAAAACGAGTTAATTACCTTTTTTAGTACGTACGTTTGACGCATGTTTAACTATTTTCAATATCTGTTGGACTATTCGATATGATTATGATGTAGTTCACGAAATGAGCTTCTAGATGACGCGGATGATTTGTATATTTGAATAGTATACGATCATTGGCAACTTAGCATATTATCGAAATACTAATTTGGAACGGTCTACTTTGATACATCACTTTTGCTATGATTGATCATTTCGCACGTCATTAAGAAGCGAAAAACTAGGTCATGAGTGTTTTGAAATGATATTAAGAATGTAATGTTTCGACTTCATTTAACATGTATTAAAGTATGTCGTAAAACGGTTAAAATAACTATTTTCTAAAGGGGGGAAAAAAAACCAAAAATTTATTGGCTCATTTAACCCCACATGACCCCATGTGGGTCCGCTCCTAGTTGTGGAAGATGGTGTGAGATCTTGTCAAAGTGTAAATTCTGTAAACGAGGATGTACATATAGCAAGATTATCCTTGTGCTTTTGCTCTAATCATGGATGAAAATCAGCATCGCAATTTTGAAGGAGTTCCTCAATTTTGTGTGTAACAATAGTCCATATCTATACAAAAACAACAAAGAATAAAAGTGCACGCTGGGAAGCACAATATCGTACGGTATCTTAAGGAAAAGTTAGGCACCCTTAAATTCAACAATACACAAGGTTTTATCATGTGTTGAGAAAATTGAAGAATACTTGGTAGTTTTTGATTTTTCTGTGTCATGATAAAAAAATCCGTAGTATTAAATCTTTGCTTCGAAGCACGAGCAAAGCGAGATTTGAAAGTACTATAATGATGTTTCAGACTATAACATCTTCTCCGCAGAACTTGGTAGAGAAACAAATCAACATTCTTGAATAGGAACTAATTGTAGTTTGCCTCCATATCTTTCGGGTAGTTGACTCTCATCAATGTGTTGAAGCAGGGTCAGTTCCAGTTTGTTGTTTTCCACAAAAGTTATCTGCACAACATTGCAACTCCTGTTATATGGAAACCTCAATAAGACGAAAAACACAAGTGACAGTGGGTTGAAGATATTATTACCTTCTTCTTAGTGTTTTTGTCAATGAATGGGTAAAAAGCCTTCCAAGCAGTCATAAATATGTAAGGCACATGGATTATAAGCAACTTGCCTAGTCTCTCTGGGTAGAAATCCTGCCAATAAACCAATCACAAGACAACATAAGCCTTTGAGGTTTATTTTCTTCAGATTAAGTTTATATTCGTTAAATTAGGAAACTAAATTGACTTCTTGCTATCATGTTATGGCAACAACACAAACCTGTAAAATCGAGAGAGCTGTTATGTACCCGCGAATATCACTGTTAGAATAACCCCATCCTTCTAAATCTGCAATCGCAGTAAACTTCTCGTGCTCACTTGGCATCCTGAAAATTTAAAGAGTAAAATCTCTAGGATAGTCCACTTAAGAAAGAGAAATGGAAATGGAAATGGAAATGGAGCAGCTGGAGAAGAAGACTTGTTGCTGAGGAGTTATTGATATGTTTAGGGAAATTGAATTACCTAGAACATACTTTGTCAAGTGTGTAAGTAACAAAACCTGTAAAAAAAGAAGGAATCTGAAATTATAGGGAGACAAGTTGAGACCATCTTAGTAAAATTGTAAGAAGGAAACGGGGGTTTAAATACTGCGTACGTTTGAACTCTTCTACGCCGGTAGGCTTATGGCGACCAGAAAGAACAATCACGATTGGGGATCCGGTCTTATCATGACCTTGCATAAATAACTTATTTTGGGCAATATCATTTTGAATTTCTGAGGGAGATATGAAACCATTTGGAACAAATTCTTTCCTCCAATTTAGGTACTTGAGAAACATAGCTGAAGCTTTTTCAGTATCCAGATCACGAGCTCGGAGAAACCTACAGATCATAGAGTTGTCCACATCCTGCAATATATAGTATGGAAACACAAATTGCTTTATTATGTATTGGCGAGTAAGCAAATATGACGTTAAGCATCACTTCTCAGTATCCCAAAATCCTCAATTCCATCACTTAGCAGGATATATTCAGCCATGCAAATAACAGAAAAGGAGAAATTAAATAGTGAAAGATGAAGATTTGAGGGAACCTTTGCAGAGGGATTTTGAATTTCAACAATTGCTCTCATGACTTTACTGCATTCCATCTCTTTGTTTTCAAATTCTTCTTCTTTTATGTGCACTGAATCTGGGGATGATATAGATGAACCAATCTTGAGTTTTCGCAGATACGAACTCATTCCTCTGTCTCTCTCTCTAGTAATTTTCAGTGTCGAGCGAGAGAAGAACTCCGATGTTGAAGTCCATCATATGTATAAATATTCAAAAATGGAGGTTACGTTTAGAAAATGTAAGTTAGGAAGTAAACAGGGTTTGCGTGGACCGATTGAGCATAAACGAACATCGTCGTTGAAGGAATCTCACATTGACTCACTAGGAAAATTTGCAACTATGGTCCCAAATCTTTAAAAAAAATGTACAGCACAGTCATAAACTTTTAAATATGGACATTTTGACGGTTTTCGTCTAAAAATTCGTTAGTTAACTAAAAGTCAAGTGTTAATCATAATTTGATCATCCTATAGAAAATTGATCTATTAATACTGTTTCACTTAAAACAGTGAAATTAAGAAAAAAAATTAATGATAATTAAAAAAAAAATTTGAAAAAATAAAAATGTATGGATCATCTTCTCCACCTACGTTTGTCTTGAATATGCTAGCAACAAATACCGTACTGTACCAATACCTGTACATGTATGTTATACATAATATGCAATATACTTCCATCAAGAAATTCATGGGTTTTATTTTTATATTTTTTGGGTGAAATTTGGGGAGATGGTGGGAAAAAGAGAGATGAGATGGGAAATGGGGAAGACAAGCGGTAAGGGTGGGCCACGAAGATAACGAAGTTTCTTCCTTTTTTATTTAATTACTTAAATATGGCAAAACACTTGGTTTTTGGACGAAATTCGTTCAGATGTTTTTTACTGTACATTTTTGAAAAGTTTGATCTTATGCTATGATATATAGGTTTGGGATCGCACTGTACTTTTTCGAAAGATTTGAAACCTCTACTACAAATTTTCGAAAAATGACACGTATAGGATAACAACTATAACTAACTATAAAATTAGCGTTGTAGCTTGTACGTACAAAGCTAACATGCTTGTTAAGCAACATTTTTTTTATTTTTTCAAAGTTACAAGTTGTTAGGATATTTTGATAACTTTCACAAGTTTGTTAACAAAGTTTCCTTAAAACGTTGAATGTTCCCATCATTAGTTTAGCATGATTTCGAAACATTTTCGTCTTTCTCTTTTCCTTTTGCGTTAGACATCCAAATATAGCATTACTCAATTACTCATTCAAAAACCAAAATCTATTTTGACAGAATATACAGAACAAAACTTAAAACAAAGTAATGAGATATGCCCCCGTTTGCCCTCCATTTTGTGGAAAATTTAATTGGTGGAATAGGATGGTTTTTTTTTTTTTTTTTTTTAATGAGTGGTTGAAAAAGAAGCAAAAGTTTTCAATTTATGTATAATATTATTTTATAGAAGATTGTGTCGTTGAAAAATAGAAGAGAGAGAATGAAATGAATGGAATGAAAATAGAATCATGCCGAACCATTATGAAATAACGAAAAAGTAAAAATGGTTGCTTGTCTTAGGTTTTTAGGAGCTCATGCCTCATTTCTCTTCATTTATTATTCATCTGAGACTGTACTACCTTAAAAAACCATTGTGACCATGACATTCTATTCAATTATTAAAATTTACATCACTTTATTCCTTGAAGTTCGATATTGTTTTCAAGGAGATGACAAGTATATTTTATTCGGACTTCTATCCTTATTCAATTATATATAAATTGAGGTTATCTACGTTATTTGTGTAAATTATGTGAATTATATGAAGGTCTCAACCTGGATAAAATTGGTGTGAAAAAATGCCATATAAAACTTAATTAAAGTTGATTTGAAGTAATTGAAGATTAGTCATCTTACAAAGTGATCTATTGGAAGTGTTAATAGTGCATTTGATTCAAAAATATAAGTTTTGGGAGTTAAATTCGACATTTGGAAAGTTTGGGGACTAAATTACAAATTTTTAAAACTTGTATCGAGTCAGTTATTAATTATTTTGTTATTGAGATGACTTAATTACAAATGAAGGACTAAAGTGGTATGGAAAAAAGAGTCCAATTGAAAAAAGGGCATTGCTCAATTTTTCTTCTCTAACTATTTGTGAAAATCAGTTTGAACAAGGATTTTGACATAAATCTTGTTCTATAAATGCAAGTTTTAGTTCAACAATCAAAAGAGGCTTGTAGGATTTTATTATATACTAGTCATATGCCTCTGCAAGGCTCATACTTTATTCTGTTTTAAGGTAATGTTAGTGTATCAAGCGTTCAGGATTGACAGAAAATATGTGCGGTGTGGATTAGATTAGCAAAATGAATTAATTTTATGAAGTAAAATTGGCACATGACACAAAAGTCACACACAAACACACAAATGAAAAGATAATTAAGGAGAAGAGACAATGACTTGAGCCTGACTTAAACTTGAGGAAGGATTTTACTGCTGCAATGAATCTTGTACAATTTAGTATATGCAACCCAACAGATTTCACCTGAGAAGATGAATGCAGCATTCACAAAATTGAAGCACAAGAACACACTTTAAAGAAAAATGAAGGGAATGACCAGTAGTCAGGTTATGTATGTATTTTGAATCTAACCTCTTCATAAATGATTATCAAATATCTGCATGAAAACAAAGCAAATGAGGTTATCAGAGATGGGTTTCTATTAGCAATCATGATGCTCAGTCCATTTCCAAGCTTGAAAAGCAAAATCATTAACTGTATTTTCAGTTTCAACCTAAAAACATAAAATACTGAAATATGTGTTAATGCAAGAATGATTTAACCCCACAAGGTTAAGGTTAAACTGCTAACTCATTATTTAAGAATACCAATTGATTCCAAGGCAATAATAAAATGTATAAATAGTTGCTCTTTCTTTGTACTTCATCTTTTCCATTTTCTACAGCATCCTTCTCCTTCTTTTGGCTCGATTCCAGTTTCCCAGTTATAAAAGAATGCACGCACATTTCTTCTTTCTCTAAACACATAATTTGAAACTTATGATCAACTTCTATGATTGGGAATAATCAACTATCAAATGATACTCAACAACATTTTAATAAAGGAATATATAAGATGAGAGAATAGTAAATCACAAAACACAGTCCAATGACAACAGTAAAAGTTCGCAGAATTTTATAGAAGTGATGAGTATGCGGATATACCTCATATTACGATTAAAGATTTTCTTTCTAGAAGGCAATGATTTAAACGTGATAACTTCAAAACATTGACCATAATAGCACGTGACATTCATAGGGAATCCAAGCATAAAGTTAATAACAATATTGCATCATCTAGCAAGCTAATTTTACACTCACTCGATTGGGATTTTAGAAAGAAATTCTGCAAACTCAATATAGAATCAATCAATAGATACCATTCAATAATGAGTGAGAAACCAATGAAGGAATACCATGGAAAAACTAATGCTACTAAAACTAACCTTTGTTTATATGGTCCTAAAAATAATTCTTGTTATGTACTCCATAGCGTTGTAGGCAAGATACTTGCACGTTTCATTTTCAATGTACATTTTTAACAATGATTCTACAATAACATGTACAACACCCAGTAAAATGCCGATCAACGAGAAAGTTGACATTCAGGAGGAATAAGAACACTTGCTATCTCGTATAATTCTAGATCGTAGAATGCATTTGAAACGGCTTTTAGCGTGACAAAAGAAGACCAGTCATTGGAGAGAGAAACTTAAAAAAGAAAATGGAAGGGAGAAATTAGAAAAGAAATTATAATATAACATCATTCTCAAGAACAGGTCTGTGGTAAGCTCACCTGAAAATAAAGGAGTAAGTTTGCAGATGGCATCGTGCTTCCATCGAAGAAGTACCAAGTAATCCAATCATCTTCGTTGACATCCTGAAAAAGTTTTATAGAGATGGTTATTTAGTATCCTTTTGTTTAAACTTTGATGAGAACAATTCAGCAGCAAATTCTTATAAGAATTAACAATATCTAATGTCCTTCAACTTGGAATTTCAAATGACGGAAAAGATTATCTCAAAGTGGTAAGCAAATGTTTTATGGCAGAAATAATGGACAAACAGAAGAACATCTGGTTTCATCCACCCGGATATCCTCTTAAGAAGGTCTCGATAGTTTTTCATATGCTATTTTTTAAAGAATAAAACAAGTTGATTAGCCATGCCAACAATCCCAAACCTCAGAGCCCAGTTTAGGACTTTACAAGGATTAAGTACCTCAAACATTTCAATGGAAAATATTTTGTCAGTGGAAGCTTCCACATTAAATGTGCTAATATATGGAATTATGACATTGACATTCTGAACTTGAAGACCCCTGTGGGGCAGAACAATTAATGTCAGACAAATGTCTCTCCACAAGTTTGTTTTGGGGAAGAATTAGGGAAAAAAGGCAATTAATATATGCCTCAAATGTTTGAAAATATACATAAATAGATGGATCTTGTTCCTGTTTCCTAGAGGAGTTGAAAGTGGTATACAAGAAGTTTTTAAAAAAATTATCATACAAATGAAATAAGCATTAAGGAAATCTTGATGGAAAACTTAAAAGAAACTAAACCAACTTTTGATCCTATAATAAATCATTTAGTTAATAATAAGTTAGTGAAGATTGAGCATCTCAAACTTGAAATGATTCCAGAAATATACACCAAATTTACAAAGGTCACTTAAATTGTCAATGTGGTGAGAATAAAGATTAATAATTTAAAGGCATCTAACTGAACAAAAATGAAATGATTTCAAAATCTAGTTAACGGTACAAAGAATAAAATATTAGCCAAAATAGTACCAGACTATAGGTATTTGTTATTGGGAAGCGCAATCAATCTCGATCAATTGAGAACATTTAATTGAAATTTTAAAAGGAAAAAGTCAATAGGCTACATTGTTTTCACGCTCATTAGAAGTCCTAAAGAAGCAACATTCATGAATGTAAAAGGAAAAACTTTATTCTACAGTGTGGAAAATACTGTTTTCCCGATTTCTATATCAGAAGCAAATGAAATGAAAATACAACTATAAGGTTCAACATTTAATTTTGATAAACTAAAAAAAAAAAAAAACAATGAAATCAAATATGAACATTTCCATGATTCTGGTCCGATGATATTGCACATATAAAGTTACAAATAACAATTAGACGGACTCCTATCTTGCGAATTAAAACTC